TATTTTTTGAAGAAGTAAGCAAATCGTATCAACCAACAGAAGTACAATTAAGTACGGGAGAGTTATCACAGACTCATTTAGACACGAATATAGACGAGGGTTGTAATTTGAGGACGATCTTGTAACCCGCTCTAAGTACATGAATTCATTCCGGAATTGTTTGTTTGAGTTAATATGGCAATTTGTATTTCTCGTCGAACATTTTATGGCTTAGTGTTTTTGTATGCTTTTTGGAAGTTTGTATTGTATGTCTGTTCTTTCCAGACTTATGATTATGATTGCCAGTTGGTATTTTCTTACTCTTACTTTAAATGTGTTGTCGCCATATTTGTTAGAATAGATTGCATGTAATTTTAATTGTCAAGTTAGTTGTGCTGCATGTCTGTGTTGTATGTTGACATATTTATGACCACTGGATCGTCACATTTATAAGCCTATTATGTCTGTTTAGACTCCTAACCCAAATTTGTCAATATGACTGAACAATAAACCAACTGTCATTCAAGTTGGATGTTTAACTAGCTATAAAATCAAGTTTAACCAATTATTCTCTTCCAGAAGTGCCTGTACTAGTGTAAGGATATGGAAGTTGTTTGTGTACTGGTCTGTTGATGGATAGTGTTTGATTTTGTCATTTTTGTGGACTTGAATTTGCCTTGTATTTGTTATACTCCCATTTCAATCAACGTACACAATAAAACTCTTATCACACCATTAACGCTTATACAAAAATAAATTGTACACTTCAATATATTAAAATCAAAGTAAAGTGTAGTGTACTAGTATAAGACTGGTGTAGCATTTCATATTTGTAAGAATGATCACACTTTTTCATAGTGTACCTGAATATGCACAATTTGCTTATAGGTCGTTTCAAAACTAAAAAGTAAAATAACAAAAATACCGAATATAGAAAATGGTTGATTAAGCCTGGTTTTATAGCTAGCTTTACCTCTCACTTGTATTTTAGTCACATAAAATTCCATTATATTGACAACCAATTAACAAAATGAGTAAAACCAAATATGTCATTCGTATGATTTAAACGTCTTGAACCATATAGATATATGATTTTGGTCAAAGATAAGATACATTAAATTATAGTCATATGAATTAGTGTTTTTAAATTTAAGAATAAATAGCTGAAGAAAATTTGTCTTGACAACATCAAAATACACAAGATACACTGACCGCGATGATTTTGAAAAATTCTAACTTTCTTAAAAACATATCAAATTGTTTTATCGTGTGTCAATAACTTTTGATTTATTTATAAAATCACAATTACGCACGCAATTTAATAATTTCACACATTGTATTAAAAAGTTGAATCATACAAGGACGGAAACTGTATTGTAAACTGTTGTAACGGGATTTAGACAACTCAAATGTAATAGTCTAATTATGTGCAATTGAAACACACATGAATGCTTTGGATAAATATTTACGATATTTAAGGTAAGACACATGTTCTGCTTACCCTTCCGGAGCAACTGAGATCTACCCCAGTTTTTTGGTGGGGTTCGTGTTGTGTTGCTTGTGTCTTATGTACTATTATTTGTCTGTTTGTCTTTTTCTTTTTAAGCCATGCCGTTGTCAGTTTATTTTCTATTTATGAGTTTGAATGTCCCTCTGGTATCTTTTGCCCCTTTTTTTGTTTTTTTTGTTGAGACAAAATATTCATTTATACTTTAAAAACTTTCTGGTTTTCAATCAGTAATCGGATTCCGATTGATTCATAGAATGTTATCCTGTGTCATTTTGTCACCCACAGAGCGAAGATTAGGTTTTCAACAAACTACTCACTGTTTTGATAACCAAGGTACATACGCCTTTGTGAATATCACAAACGTACATTCCACATATACTCTTTCCTCACCTGGCCTAAAAGGCAAAGTTAGCTTTCTCATCACTTTGTTCGTCGCCGCTAACATTTTACATTTTAACACTAGACAACCACTGAATATAATGAAAACTAAACATGGCATGAATGTTCCTAGTGAGGTACTGACCAAGTGTTGGTACTTTGTAGCCGAACCGTCATCCAAGATGGCCACCAGTAGTGGACTTAGTTTAACATAAAGGCCATATGGGAAATACATTTACATGCTTCGTCTAGAGGAGCACTGTATAGAATGAAGCCAAACATGGCAAATATGTTCCTTCTGAGTTGCTGATGAAATATTCCAACTTTGTTGTCGATTTACTGTTCAAGGTTGCCACAATGATTTTTGATTAAATTACGGGACCAAAATTAAACCAAATTTGGCCTCAATTATTATTAAGGTATCAGTTATGATTTTAATCTATTTTTAGATAATGCCCGAAACCAAAGTAGAATCACGTGAGCGACACAGGCTCTTGCTAGTCTCTAGTTTTAAAATTCATGACTCAGATTTTCTATCCAAATGTTAAAACATAAAATTGAGAATGGAAATTGGGAATGTGTCAAAGAGACAACAACCCGACCATAAAGCAGACAACAGCCGAAGGCCACCAATGGGTCTTCAATGCAGCGAGAAACTCCCGCACCCGGAGGCTTCCTTCAGCTAGCCCCTAAACAAATATGTACACTAGTTCAGTGATAATGGACGTCATACTAAACTTCAAATTATACACAGGAAACTAAAATTAAAAATGATACAAGACTAACAAAGGCCAGAGGCTCCTGACTTGGGACAGGCGCAAAAATGCGGCGGGGTTAAATATGTTTTTTGAGATCTCAACCCTCCCCCTATACCTCTAGCCAATGTAGAAAAAACAAACGCACAACAGTACGCATAGTAAAACTCAGTATAAGAGAAGTCCGAGTCCAATGTCAGAATAGGAAACAAAAGAAAATAAATAGACAATAATACATAAATAACAACAGACTATAGTATAGTCATAATTTAAAAAAAAAAAAAGTTTTAGTTTGCTTATTTACCAGAACGTTTTCTTTTGAATTAATACCATCCTTGAAAAAACAGGACAAGAATAAAAAGATCAAGTTTTTAGTGTTGATATGGGATGTTGTTTAGTGCCACTAGATTTGTCACTGACACAGGTTGAGGCAGCTAGATAAGTTCTTAATTTCAATATTCCGGAAACAAACGTCATTCAAACCGAAATCTGTATCAATCATTTTTCCAACCTTGTTGTTAGTACAGCAAATGGTGTTGTTAATATGTAAGAGTGAATGATCTAGTGATCGTACCTTCAATTGATGAAATAATATGTAATATCATTAGAATTTCAATTGCTGAAACGATTATAGATTATCGTTGATCATCTCAGCAAGATTGATTTTCTTGCTTGAGCCGGTACGTAAAATAGCGATGACATGTAATATTAGTAGAATTTCAATTGCTGAAATTATACATAACATTATTAGAATTTCAATTGCTCCCTGATATAATATTTTATTTTATTAGAATTTTTAATTGCTGAAATAATATGTTATAATATTAGAATTTCAATGTGATTTCGAGTGTCCTTTATCTTATTCAATGTTGTGTAAATAATAATTAAGTCGATTCATTTGCACATAAATGGTGTTAAAGCCATGTATTTTGGGCAATTAAAACATTAGGCACGACAGGATCTACTCGTACGGTCACAAAATTATTTACATATATGCTATCAGTCTTTAGTTTTCTATGTTGTGCTTTGTGTACTTTTGTATGTCTGTTGGTCGTTTTCTTTTTTAGCCATGGCGTTGTCAGTTTATTTCCGACTTATGATTTTGAATGTCCCTTTGGTATCTTTCATCTCTCTATGAATGAAACAAGCCCACAGTTATGCCGTGAAGTACTGCACTCACTTTACTATATTTGTTATTTATCATATGCTTATTCATGAAAATAAGTATGTGGTTGTGAAATACTGGTCATAACGGAAGAAGTGTAGTATATCATTGTAAATATAGATATTTACATCCTGTCATAAGAGTACTTTGTTTTGAAGTTTGTTTATATCGTGAACGGTATGTAGACATTTTAACTGAGTTGACCTCGCTTGCCGGGAAATGCATGCATAACAAGAAACGCTTGCCATGTCTACGCACCCGCTTCTTTTTGGAATTCAAGTGATCCTCTCAGTTGTTTTTGTTACCTTCCTTTAAATTATTTAACATCCTCAAATGTTCAGTGGCACTGTCATATTACTAGTACTCAGGATGTAGCAAAGTCCGGTTTAGGAATATTTGTTAGATATTAAGACTACTTGTTGTTTCTCTACGATACAGCTTAAAATATTTTGCCCCATATCACCCACTTTCCTTTTCACAGAAAACTCCAATTTCATAAAAATGCCATTATCAAAATATAAAAAAAGTCCTAGTTGGCCTTTTCTCGCCGTTTAAAAAAAACCCAAATATCTCAAAAAGGAGTTCCATAAGACATCAATATAATTAGTTTATAATATTTATAAAGTAATGCTCTTCTGACTTTTAGTATCAATGCTTAATTCTAGATGTTTTTAGTTTCACCTAACAAAATCATTAAAATAGATAAAAAACATTTATCTTCAGTCGAATATACTGAAAACACTTTCAATTTGAAAGAGTGATAATATTGTTAGTGGTTTTTTTTTAGCTTTTGGAGGTTCAAATTTGTTTTCAAGAAGGTGAAAGTTAATAATGCTTGGTCCAAATAGTTTACATACCTATGAGTCAAGATATTTGTAAGGAAACATATATCAAACCCCTCAACAGGAGAAAAATACAAATACATTTTCATTTGCGATATTTTTTTACCGTAAGTGTATAATGTTTTTGAATAATTTTCATGTTGTTGTATTTTCATAAGAGAGATTTAAGTTCAAGGTTGTAATTGTATTATCATACAAAAACAAACCTATTTTATTAAAGAAAAGCAAATGTCATTGTATACGAACATTACTTGTAATAGATACCCTGTTTAAATGAGTGTGTATAAAACACTTCTTGATTATTTTACAATCGTAAAGATTGTATTTCGAAAGATGACAGTGAGGTAAACCAATCTAACTTTATACTTCCTCCTGCAAAATGCATATTCATTTGCAATATTGACAGTTAAAAAGATACACATTTTACATAGATTCACTGCGTATAAAGCACTTTTATGGATTTGCCCTAACTAGGTAAGCTTAAACCCTCGGATTATAATTCAGGGATGTGTTAACGCATAGAACAATTAGGAGCTATATAAACCAACATGGACATTAAAGAATAGCTAAGATTCACAAAGATCTAAGTTACCTGAAGGAGTTGGAATGTGTGTTTTTTTTTTATTTATCAACAAAGAAATTCAGAATAGTATATGATAAATCCCTGAGTTGGTGATACCTTGTGGGACTAATAATCGACTAGCAGTGTTATGGACCCCGCGCTTAAATAACAATTTATAGATATAGTGCCTCCCGAGTCTAGACCTGTTTGGGATTAACCATCATCTGGAAATCTCGTGTCAATGATTTGAAAGTCAGGTATGTGTAAACACCGAGAAACGTATTAGGCTTAAAATAAAAGGTTATACATTATGTAATGAGAAGTTTAAATCTGTCATCAATCATAAAATGAGTACGTTTTTGTTATTTATTAATATCTAATTCTTGTTGACATCTGTAAAACAAAAACTATCTTTTTCCAAAATTATGATTTTGCATCCCGTTCATGTTCTCTTCTCGTTTTTTTCTTAATTTCTCATCAACTCGAAATGAAATTCTAATAGGCAGTGTTCACCATAAGATTTCGCAGGGCAGTGCTCACTGTTTGATTTCCCGTTGTTTCTGATTGACCCCTGTTAGACATGTTAGATATTCAGTACTTTTTCTTGATGGACCACTGTTGGATTTTTAGTAATATTCTTCATGGACCACCGTTGGATTTATAGTATTTTTCTTAAAGGACCAAGTTTGATTTCCAGTTTGATGTCAAGTTCATCTTGATGGACCACTGTTGTTTTAAAAGTACTATTTTTTGATTGACTACACTTGTTTTCAAGTACTATTCTTGATGGACCACTGTTGGATTTACAGTAATATCCTTAATTGACCACTGTTGGATATCCAATACCATTCTTGATGGACAACTGTTGGATTTCAATTCTGTTTTTTTGATGGACCACTGTTAGAATTCCAGTACTTTTTTTATGGACCACTGTTTGATTACAAAGAATGTTCTTTGATTTCAAGTACCTATCGTCAAAGAACACTGTTGGATTTCCAGTTGTTTTCTTGATGGACCACTGTTGGATTTTAAGTACTTTTCTTGAAGGACCACTGTTGGATTTTCAGTACTTTTCTTGATTAACCACTGTTGGATCTCCAGTACTTCGCTTGATGGGCTACATTTGGATTACTAGTACTTTTCTTGATGGACTACTTTTGGATTTCCAGTACTTTTCTTGATGGACCACTTTTGGATTTCTAGTACTTTTCTTGCTGGACTCCTTTTGGATTTCCAGTACTTTTCTTGATGGACTACTTTTGAACTTCTAGTACTTTTCTTGATTGACCACATTTGGATTTCCAGTACTTTTCTTGACAAACCACTATTGCATTTTCAGTACTTGTCGTGATAGACCACTGTTAGATATACAGTACTTTTCTTGATGAACTACTGTTGGATATCAAATACTTTTCTTGTTGGATCAATTTTTGTTTTATAATACTATTCCTCGTGAACCATTTTTGGATTTCATGTAGTGTTCTTGATGGACCACTGTTTGATTTTCAGTATTTTTCATGATGAAGCACTGTTGAATTTCCAATACTTTCCTTGATGGACCACTGTTGGATTTCGAGTACTTATCTTGATGGACCACAGCTTGATTTCCAGTTGTTTTCTTGATAGACCACTGTTGAATTTCAAGCTAACTTCTTGATGGACAATTATTGAATTTCCAGTACTGTTCTTGATGAATCACAGTTCGATTTCCAGTAGTTTTCTTGATTAACCACTGTTGGATTTCAGGTACTTTTCTTGATTGACCATTTATGAATTTCCAGTACTTTACTAAATGGACCACTGCTGGATTCCAGTAATGTACTTGATGAACTATCATAAGATCCCCAGTGCGTTTCTAGATTGACTACTGCAAAGAATTTTCTTGATGGAATACTGTTTGATATCCAGTACTTTTCTTGATGGACTACTGATTTCCAGACCTTTTCTCAGTACTTTTCGTGAGGGACTACTGTTAGATTTCCAATTGTTTTCTTGAAGGACAACTGTTGGATTTCCAGTATATTCTTGAGGGACTACTTTTGGATTTCTAGTACTTTTCTTGACGGACCACTGTTGGATTTCTAGTACTTTTCTTGGTATACTACTTTTGGATTTCCAGTACTTTTCTTGATGGACTACTTTTGAATTTCCAGTACTTTTCTTGATAGACCACTGTTAGATTTCCAGTACTTTTCTTGATGGACAACTGTTGGATTTACAGTACTTTTCTTGATGGACTACTGTTGGATATCAAATACTTTTCTTGGTGGACCACTGTTTGTTTTACAATGCTATTCCTCGTGAACCACTTTTGGATTTTATGTAGTGTTCTTGATGGACCACTGTTTGATTTTCATTATTTTTCATGATGAAGCACTGTTGGATTTCCAATACCTTTCTTGATGAACCACTGTTGGATTTCCAGTACTTATCTTGGTGGACCACAACTTGATTTCCAGTTGTTTTCTTGATAGACCACTGTTGGATTTCAAGTATTTTTTTCTTGATGGACCATTATGGAATCTCAAGTACTTTTCTTGATGAACCACTGTTCGATTTCCAGTTGTTTTCTTGATTAACCACTGTTGGATTCCAGGTACTTTTCTTTATCTTTTCTGAAATCGAAAATTACAAAAAAAGCTAAATTACCGATAAAACCTAACAAGGAAGTTGATATATTATGTGAAGCACTTATAACCTTTTATCTGGTTTTTAATTTTTGTATCTCGTTGACAATTTATTTTTACATATTAAATGATTTCACTCATCTGTTATCTGATTGAAACAATCAACAAATTGCAGGTATTGATAAATCTAGTTTCTATATCGTGTGATTTTATGTACGTAGTAGTTATTATGATGGACAAACAATGTAAGTCTTAATATATGTAAGAGAATGGTAGTCCCTTTCTCAATCATTAAGTACGATCAAAATATGAGTTACAGCTAAATTTAACTTTACAGGCAATATTTTAGTCCATTTCTTTAAATCATACTCTGCTTAATAATGCCAGCAAAATGTTCAAATACAATGTTTAGAATATATTCAAAAGCTAAACTTAATTTTTTTTTTTAAATGTTATCAGAATTTTATGCATACTATTTTCACAAACTGCAGATCAAGTAATCTGCGTTTTTGAAAGAGTATAGGCTATAAGATTTAGCTACAATTTCCTTTCAAAACTTTTTTTCTTTTTTCCTTTTGTATTGTCTTTACATTGTTTATATTTAAATTTTAGTAATTTGAAGTTATCAATACTCTTATGATAGCGTTAACGGTACCTTTGTACTGCACCAGTAAGCGTCAACTAATTTTGATTTTGTTTCTTCAAAATTTATCGTTTAGACACTTTCAATCATACATTCTTTCAAGCTGATAAATGTTCTTCAGGGAAATTTTAAATCATTCATAGAACTGTAAGTAGGCCTTAACAATAGGATAATCCCTTACTAAGAAAATGATTTCATATATTTTTCAAGATTAAAAAACCCTTAATCCTACTATTTCATTGGTCGAAAGTACTTTGCTATATTCTAAGATATATAACGTATTGATTGTAACGGAAAAAGATGACTAATGTTTTGTTTATTATTAATAATTCCACAGGTTAAGGGGAAACGGGAGCGGGATCATATAATAAAAAAAACTAGTTCAAACCATTCTCTTTCAATTTTAAAAGTAGAATGAAGGGCACCTGTGTAAACTTTATTGCTGTAGATTCTAGCGTTTATTCGCATATTTTACTTTGCAATAAGGAGATATGAATGGTCTACCTTTTTCTAATAATTCCTAAAAATACGTAAGAAAAGCTATCGCCTTCAATTATATTTTGTACTATATCTTTTGTTTTACAAAAAAAATCATCACTTTTCGGCATAGCATACCACAACTTTTCAGTTCAAGTTAAAATATATATGCAACTTATATATATATAATGAATGTAGACTTATTTATTGTAAAAATACTAAGTAAACGTCTACCGGTACCTAAAACAATTGACAAAATGCACAAATAAAATCCTACTTGTGCGTATCTAAATAACAAAATGACTAAAATTAACATTAACTTAAGAACAAAACTTATCATGAGCGCATTATTGCTTTGAATTCACATTTCTTTTTCTTAGATAGCTTAAGTGGAAAATGAGCCGACCAATATGCGTATACTTCAACACAAGGAATGGATGTAGGAATGGAAATCGATGTAGATTCGTTCACCAAAAAATTGGCTCATTGCATAGACCTAAATGTCGATATTATAGGTACGTAAACATTTGGAATGAAGGTAGAAGGCTCTCCGAAAATTTCTTTTACAGCAGCCACTGTTATGGGTATGGGCTTGACAAAAATTAAAATCTACAACAATAGCGAATCAGGATATTCTAATTGGACACTTTCAAATGCTTTTGTTCAACATCGACGTTTAATAACGAATATAATGTTTGCATCTGATCAACGGAATACTTTACAATCTACTTCATTGTCGCAGGTTATTGTAAAGTAACACTGAAACATAAACAAACGATAATACAGGTTTTCTGAGATAAAAACCAGATTTTGACACTAAAAGAGAAGCGAACGATACCAAAGGGGCTTTCAAACTCATAAGTCGAAAATAAACTGACAACGCCATGGCTTAAAAAAAAGAAAACAGACAAACAGACAACAGTATGCAAAACACAGCATAGAAAACTAAAGACTAACATCCCATCAAAAACCGAACCCCACCAAAAACTGGAGGGGGGGAGGTAATTTCAGGTGTACCGGAAGGGTCAGCAGATATGCTCCATATGTGGCACCTGTCATGTTATTCGAACAGCTATGATTGATTAATACTCTTCCAAAAAAAAAGCAGGGGTATTTGATGAAACGTAAAAAATGCTTGTCGGATAACTACAAATATTAGAAATAGGTGTCATTCGATTTAAATGACGCAAAAAAAGATATGTAAGGTCTAACCCTATTTATGAAGAAAGGAAAAAGAATTTTATTATAAATCGGAAGGTATGCAAGAGTTTCCGACCGCTACATTTGGGATATGTTTAACATTGATAAAGCGAATATTCAATATAAAAAAAAATACTAAAGGACTTTATCTATTGATTAGTTGTTTAGTAAAAATTTGTTACATGTATTTATTTGCAAATGAATATAACACTTTTAAATTATTAATTTCGAGCATGCAAAGTGATTTTCTCCGTTTGCTGTCTCCAGGAACGCTTTAACCTAATCATTTGAAAGTGAGGGATATACAAATGCATAGAAATACAAAACAACTGTGCAATATGACAACTTTATTTTATTTTTATTTTTCAGGGGACCAGGCACCTGTAAATTTTACGATAACTGTTTTTTCCGTCATGAAGAGTCAGAACCAGATATTCTCGCCACGCAATTACAGAATTTGGCAATATCAGATCAAACGAATGATGAAAGATTTGCCAAAGAGTCCGTGGTTGTTATGGATATCTTTCCAAAAATGACGAGAGAACTCGTACACGACATTATTAATCCAACTGAGCTGTTTCACATGGTACAAAACAGTTCTATTCTGAACAGATTTACACAGAGAGAAAAAGACATGGTTGATAGCCTTTTATCTAATGGGTACAATGAATGCGATGTTGATTTTATTTACAAACTAGTATGGCAATACCTTCCGAAACCTCGTCGTGGGTGGCAAACATTTCCGGAAAACTCCGATTTATCAATAGGTGATGATTTACAAAGAATCTGTTTGAGAAGCAAATCATTCTATTCACGACCTCATGTTGAAATATTGGGAGAAGAATTCACCACTTGTTTCAAAGAATTCAAAGATGTGGCGAAGCGAATCGATATTTTTTTGCAAAAACAAGCAGATGAAACATATTTGTGTAAGATTTCAAATATAGAAAGTAACAAGTTCGACGAAAGCTACATAGAAAACTGTATTGAAAAAGCTCGTAATATTGAAGATATGCAAGGTAAGGTAATACAAATATTGGATACATTAACGAATTTGATACTATATTATGATTATCCTTATAGCTTTTGGTGCTTCTTCTATCTGTATTTTATATTTAGTATAATTGGTTACTTCTGCGAGCTACCTTCACTTAAAATGTAATATATGTTATTATATTTTTGATTTATCCAAAGTAATAAAAAAAAAAACAAAAAAAAAAACAATATCCACAAATGTGTCAGAATTTTCCCGCTTTTTTTTGTTTTGTTTTGTGTTTATCTCAAATGGTTCTTGTTTTAGAAGACAAGTTGGGTGTCCTTCACTTTTAATTATTTCCAGGTGAATGCCATACTAACAACACACTTTTTCAGTTTGTTTAAAGTTCAAGTTGTATCAAGTTTATAAATAAGCTTCAAATACGTTAGTTAACTACTTAGAAAAATACATATGCCTCGAAGATAAAAATCTTTATTTCTGATAAGGGTAGTCGATTATAATAAAATAACGATAAGATGCAGATTAATGGATAAAATATTTAAACAGAACAACTCCAATTATGTGTCTTATACAGTTTTCATTTGATGGCAATTAATCGTATATGTGCTATGAAACAAGCATACTGTACTATCACCTCTACTGTGTACTGATAGATATTTGTTGGACACACATGTTCGTGTATGTTAAAGTTTTACTTTTACTGCGAATTTAAACCGCAAATGCTAAAAGAAGTACGCATTTTTAAATACTTAATAGAGTTTTTATCAAAGTAACGAAAACAAATATTCACGAAAATCATTATGTTTTTCAATCTATGAAAATTAGAATTGTCGAATATACATGAATCCACAGTACTCAATTCGAAGAGAATCCAGATTATACTTTATATGATCATTTCTTTCAGTCAGTAGCACGTGCAGAAGAAATGAAACCTCTATCAATCTTTACATCGGAAGATCTGGGAGAAAGTGTATAGATCGTATCTTAAAAGGAGGCAAGTCATACAGTTCTTTTTCTAAATTTATTCCTCATACTTTCTTTTTCAAACTTTCAAAATATACAATGGTTTAACGTTCATCGGAAAATGCCTGTATTAAGTCAAAAATATAATATGACGTTTGTTGTCCATTTGTTCGTTGGTTGATACAGTCTAATGTTTGATATGGTTATTTGTTTTATGGACCTTCCCTTTTCAAGGACATAGTAAACTAAAACTAATTTAAATGTATGTTTGAAAAATATAAGCTTCTAATAAAAAGACATAACGATAAACAGATCTTCTCAATAAAATTGTGGTGCAAACAAAGTATAGTAGAATATTGTAGCAGTTAAACATTGATTTATCAAAACTTATGAATGAAATAGCTTTCGTTGATAACCTCAAAACCAACGACACTGCATTATAACTGGGATAAAAATAACAATAGGAAGTTGATAATGATTATAATGATTTTAGTTATAATATTGATAATGACATGTTATTATCACATGAAACTAATAAATTATTCTATCTATCAATTTAGGGTCAGGAGTGGAAATGATGAATTTAATTGTAACAGGAGTGATTAAGGAAAATGAAGTTGCTGAGAGGTTTTTAAAAGCGAATTCCAGTGAAGAACTGTTCCAGACTAAAATTGACGATATTCAGCCAAATCGTGTTGTTTTGATGATAAAAGTCAACGGCCAAGAATTCCAATCTAACGACCAATTTATAGAGAAAATGCTCAAATTCTTAGTCAATGTTTTGATACCTGAAGAAGAGAATGGATTTCCAAATTTGATAATTGACACCGTCATTATTGGTTTTGCCGATAGAATAACCCTAGGTATTTTTTATCACATATTATTTTTTTATGACGTATGACTTGAGAACCGAAGTATAACATATATTTTTTGTTTCCTGAGCAACCGTCAGTTCTAATATAAGAGAAAGACCTATTGATCCTTTCATAAACACCTGAATTCCCCTAATTTTCAGTGAGGTTTGGGTTGCTAAACCTTAGTTTTTAGTATTGTGTTTTGATAGTGTGTTCGGACCTATTTGTCTTATCGACATGTTGTTAGTTTGTTTGTTTGTTCGATTGTTTGTATGTTTGTGGTATTAGCTAAAGATCTTAGTTTATATGTCGGTTACATTTCCTTCCTTCCACTGTTTTAATTGTTTTGTGATAACAATTCAAATAATATAAGTGACATATATAACCTTGCATCTTTTCCAAATTCTGATTTAAAAAAATCTTAAAGAGCAAACCGGATTTTTTCTATGCTACTTAATTTGTATTTACTATCATAGAAACTAAATCAACAGTACACCCCCCAATGTTTAATTACTGTGGATTCATTTGATTTCGTTGGTACCAATTTTTGTGGATTGAGGACAACTTATATGTTCGTGAGTATTTGATTTCGTGGTCTTGTCGATGTCTGCATATAAGCCTTTCGAAAATTTGTCATTCGTTGATTATTTAATTTCGTGGTTCACCCATAGCAACTAAATCCACGAAAATTGGTATCCAACGAAAAATAATGAATCCACAGTATCATAAATCGTTTTGAAAGATACAGATCAAGATGACAAACAATAACTGAGGAAGTCGCATGACAGGGTAAAATCGAATTTGTCATTCGAGTGTCGGTTACAGTACAATACATTAGTTTCAGTAAATATGATACGCTCATAAGTCATTGACTCGGTACTGCCAAGTTTTATAACATACTTTTTACAAAATTTCCCGGAATTGATTTTGGAATTATCTTGAAAGTAATGTTCCAATTCTCTATAGCAGCTAATCTTAAATAAATGTGTCTCTTCGTGCTAGGTACCTTTAAAATTATTGCTCCTAATATATCAACTTCCCATATGTTTATTACGTCACAGTAACATCAGACATAGTATACAAATAATAGTATACATAATAAAAATAACATATATTTTATAAATACTCAATAAACACTGTATTGAGATATACTGGAATGCTCCCGAGAAGGATTTAGTATGTTCGATTTGTATGTTAAAAGATGTGATTTTATCATGTTTTTACTTATATTTATATTTTAGAAAATCCACCATCACAGGAGGAACTTGTCAAATATGCGCAAAGAGCTGAGGGATATAACTTGTTTCTGTCCGTAAGTCTCAACAGAAAATTCGATTTGAAATCTAAAGATGATGGTTATTTGGACATTTCAGATTGTACCATTCTATGCAAGAAAATGGTGTTCACGGATAGTAAAGGATTACTTATTTATGATAAAACCAATGACGATATTGATTATATACCTCTGCCAGAAAAACCACGTTATGTAACAGAAATAGACAACGATACTGTCGCAGTATCATCGGAATGGGACTGGAATATCAAGATTATAAGTTTGACAACTAAGCAAGTATCCATTTCAATAGAAACAAGCGGTTATTGCTATGGTGTTTCATTTTATGATAACAAGCTATATGCCGCTTTCAAAAATGGTAATAAAGTTGATGTCCAAGTTATAGATCGCGATAGTAAGAAGGAATATCAAAGTAGAAACGTCTTACCAATTTATTCCGATAGTGTACGTTATATAACAGTCAACAGTGGTAAGTTATTCTACACGGCCGAATCTATTTTATACTGCTGTGATTTGAATGGAAAAATTCAATGGCAGTTTTCTGATGAAACATATTCATGTTTGCTAGGTGTCACGAGTGATGGATATGGAAATGCCTTTGTGTCTTGTTTGAGTGCCCATGCTGTCTTATTAGTTTCAAGTGGTGGGAAAAAATGCAGAGAAATTCTGAATAGGTCTAATGGATTGACACTTCCAAGAGGAATTCATTTTGCCAAACACGAAAACTTACTTCTTGTCTGTAATAGCATCGGTAAAGTGTCCATAGTTGATGCTAGATAATCAGGCATTACAAAGCGTAGATAACTCCAGAATGTGAAGACAATTTCATGGTGCAGTACAAAACCAATTGAATACTGTGGATTCATGATTATTCGTTGGATACCAATTTTCGTGGATTTCGTCGGTACATGTGAACCACGAATTTAAATGTTCAACGAATTGCTTATGTTTTATAGGGTTGTATGCAGACTTTGGCAAAACCACGAAATCAAATATCCACGAAAATGCAGGTTTTTCTCAATTCACGAAAATTGGTACCCACGAAAATAAATGAATCCACAGTAACTTGTAAATAATCTCAAAAGTCAAATTTTTCCTATATCAAATGCATTATCATGATGATCCTTTACATTTGTGGATCAATTTAGTACATTTGTAATCTATATATATATGTTACAACACATTATGGAAAATTTCAAGACTGTCTGCTCTTAAATACCATTCATGAAGAAAAAAATTAAATCAACCGTGTATTTTTTTATGCGACCTTGCTTGGTCGTATCAATTAAACATATTTTTCTTATTAGCATTATTCCAAGAATTTGGTTAAGCTATTCCAAGACTGAAGGAAAGTGGCTTTTGATGTTTTATAATTTGGTAATACAAAATGATGATTATTCAAGAATAAGCAGCCAAATATACAATTGCGGTTGCTAATAATTGCTTATATCCACTTTATCTAAACTTCGTTGTATAGTTGTGTCATTGTCAATCCTACCACATCTTCTAATTTTCATTATGTCACGTTAATATGAAATCATTAATATAACTTGTATATCATTCCAAAAAAAGCAAGATTTTCCTAGGTTATACTTTCATATTTTGAATAACAAATTGCAATATTACAGTTTATTTGTAAAAGTAATTTATAAAATCAGGGATTTTGTAAAATCACTAATATTTCAGGGATTTTGTATAATCACTAAACTGATTTGTGGTTCTATTAAAGCTCTGATTTTTCCTAGAGATTTTAAAAATCACTGAAATAATTAGGATTTTCTTTACAGATTCCCTAATTCAATTTCAAGGAATTCAAAACAAAAAAAAATAGTTTGGATCCTAAACTAGAAACAAGTTTGAACACATTGATTCTCTGTTTTTGAGTCCGTCAGCTGTATCTATTGGACAATTCAATATGTTTTCGTCATGCAGTTAAACTGTCTTTAATTAGTGATGGACAAGGTTTTTCCAAATGTAGCTCAGTAGATGTCATCCAAATTTATCATGCATGTCTTTCATTCATAATCAATGTAAAATAGTTTAAACTAAAAGTGTTTATTTTAAAAAAAATGTATTTCAAAAATCATAGATCTATTCAAAATAAAATAAAAAACACATTTCTAAGCGCAAGTTTGGACTTGGAATATGGAATTGTACAAATAAGCTATTTTATAAAATCACTGAAACTGTTAGAAATTTTACAAAATCACCAAATATTCCAGGAATTTTACAAAGACCCTGATTTCACAAATTCACTGTTAAAATATGTATATGTATATGTACAGGTACATGTCTGTTTAAAAGCATTCTGGTAAATTGAAATGCGAGTCTTTATGCTATGAAATATCGTACATGCTTAGCTTAATTCTATAGAAAAATTATATTTGAGCGTGTTATTTTGTTTGTAACCCTCCGCAGTCTTACTTTAGTATACCAAAATATGATGAATTTGAATGATTAGCAAAAAAAAGTTATCTTCTAATGAAGATTGAGAACAATTTCTGGAGAGGACTTTTGTACACTTACCAAACATTTTTCCTGTTTTAGCAAAACATAATCATGATAGAACTGGTATTGTTGCAGATATAAAGCAAAACCTAAGATACCAAAGACGATCTCATTTAGCGAAATATATTTGTTTGCTATACCTCGCAAACATAAGTCCGCAGTAGATCTTTAAGTTGAGTTTGTATTTCTTATTCTCTTTATCGGACATTAATAATAAGTCAAACCCCTTAACATCAGGGTTTCCTAAAAGGTATCGAGGGATTCCAGGGAATTAGCATCATTAAGTGTATTGGGACCTTTCCAGTTTTGTAGTCTTTAAAGGTTTATCGTTCCATTGTCCTGTAATAATAGTTTCAATGCAACCATGTGTTTGTTGAAAATAATTGGATACATCTTTCCTAAAATGTGACCTACCGAATTAGACTTATAAAACTTGATTAGGACATAGACAGCAACACGACGGGTGCCACATGTTGGGCATGATCTACCTAAAAGAGGGGCGAAAGATACTTACTTTCCCGGCACAAATTAAGTCACCCAAAGTTTTTGCTGTGGTTTGTGTTGCTCAGTCTTTTCCCCCATGTTTTGTTTTGTGTTTTGTTGTTCTTTTCTTTTTATACAAGGCATTGTCAGTTTATTTTCGACTTATACGTTTGAATGTTTCTTTGGTTTTGGTAACTGACGCTTTTCTTTTTCCGTAAACTTGAAAGTTTCAATTTTCTGTTGCATGGAGAGTTTACGATAAACTTTGTCAACAGGGAACCCAAGTAAATATGAAATGCAAACACAAATTATTTGTGTAAATTGAAATCAAAATGACTGATTTCATTTTATATAAAAAAATGTTTCTGATTGGTTACTTATAATTAAGCTGAATACTATATTTTTTTTAAACTCAGTGACTTTGATCCATTTGCACTTGATTTAATCACTAATTGAACAAATTTGTAATAAACGTTTGGAAAAAAGACTTTCTTGTTATGTGTTTGAATAATGATAAACATTGTAAAATTTCTTATGTGTAACGTTTTTTCTCAGTATCTCCACTTGTGTTGGTTTATTCCACAGTGACTAGAAATGTATGCGAAAGGTTGAGATCATACAAAACATGTCTTATAACGCCGCATGTTTGTGCTGGTCCCAAGTCAGGGACCTATGGCTTTTGATAGTCTTGTGTAATTTTTTTTAAAGATTTAGTTCATTTGTATGTTTCGAAGTGTAGTTCAGCGTCCTATTCACTGAAATAGTATACATTACTGTTTATTGACCAGCTTAAGCTGCATACAGGTGCAAGATTTTCTCGCTGCGTTGAAGACCAACAGGTGGCCTTCGGAAGTTTTCTGCTCTCTGGTTGGTTTGTTATTGATTTGACACAATCCATGTTTCAATTTGTATTTAATTCACTATACGGACGTCAATATTGAGCCAAACCAAACCTTATATTTAGATATAGGAAGTCGAGAACGGTTGTATACTTCATATGTTAGCACAGTTATCGCAAAACACAACTTACAACAGTTACTGGATAACATGCTACTGACTTGGACAGTCAGATGAAACAGGACAAAAGATCACGCTTAAAAATACAAATAATACAAATACAAGTGGACGTGGCCGGGTACTTGTACATCCAAACAACAAAAAGACACTAAGTACAGATCTGAGATTACTCGCAGTTACTGACAGCTAGTTCAAAACCACTAACAACTAATAAAAAAAATTGTGCATCTAAGACTTAATTATCAATCCGTACACATCCAACATCCAATGGATTTAGTGTAAAGACGTCATAAACAGTCAGAGAAAAACATGACCTTGTGCAATGCCAAGATACTGGTATCGATAGATTGTAGATCCATGAATGTGTATATGTATATAACAATAATATTTAGTTTGCTTTTAATTTACTGATAACAAAATCAATATTAATACCAATAAAAACAATATTTAATGATCTAATTACAGTGTTGAATTGGTAAACATTCAGAATAAGTTTATTTAAAGGATCGATAAGTTTACCAGGATCGTTTCTAAATTTCCGGGCACGGTAAACAATATTGCCGTAAAAATGAGGATGTGTAATCTTTGTCTCCTTTGTACTTCAAAACGGCTTTCTTATTTCTTACTTGATTTTGCTCTTTAATTCTTTTGTAGTAGCATCTCATTTATCCCTTGATTTCTTATTCTTTTTGTATGCTCTATTCTATCTTTTGATTATCCTTCGTATATCCTATATGCCCACCCATGGTGACTGGGGAATAGAACTATGGTCTTTTTTAGTCTTTTCCGGCCAGCAGTAAAACACTAGCAAAAATGGGGCGTCCGTTTTGCCTGTGCGCGATGCATAAATACTTCAGAGGCGCACCTGGTGCAGAATAATCGGTACCGTTAATATCATTTCTACCACTGGTTTGATACTCCTGCTGGTGGACTGTTATCATCCGAGGGTATTACCAGTCATGTAGCCAGTACGTTGTTTCTGGCATGCAAATACGGATATTATTTAATTGAAATTTGCTGTTATGAAATATATTTTTTTTTAAATTAAGAGATATATTTCTCGCATGCAAAGCTTTGATTCCTTATCCAGATTTAGCTATAGTTATGTCCTTTTTGTTCTTTACGCTATTCAACGTTCGTATAAGGTTTTGGCTTTTCAAGCATCACCGAAGAGACATAATATGAGTTGTCGAAATCCACATCTGGTGCAGGAAAATTGGTACCCTTAATCTCATAACTACCACCTGGTTGATATCTCTGTTAGTGAACTGTAAGTACCAGAGAGTATCACCAGCTCCCTTGCTAATTCTTTGGTACTGGCATGCGAAAACGAATATTGATTGATTGAAATGTGATGTTATAATTTTTTTTCTAAAAATCATTTAAATTAATGAATATATTTTCTTCTTCTTCAAGTATACAATATTACGTCAACATTTAATGTACATTTAAACTTGTAAAATGAATAGACTAAAACTACAAAGCAAAACGTAAATTAGTTTAAGATAACCAATTATTCCCTTATTCTGGTCACATAATTAAACTTTTAAACAAACTTTAGTTTCAGTCGCCGTCCCCATCAACATATAAAGTTACCATTATCACTGATAAATTACTATTGTCATGTCTATTACGACTATTTGATCATGTAGATACATGTAGCCAAGTTACGATTTTCATATCAAACAATTTTCATGGAGCTACGATTATCTTTCTTAAATTTTCGATGGCTATTATTTTTGTTACTAGGCAATATATGATATTAAGAACACACACAAAGAACAAAACCAGTACAACCTGGCGGGTGAGTAATTCTCATAAGGATTTTGTATCCACATTGACAAATTAAGATATGTTTTTTTTTGGTTTTTTTTTCAAATATTGAAATTGTTTAAAGCTTAAATTCAAACACAGTCTCCTAAAAGTTACCGATATAACGTATACACTCGTCATATTAGTATGCATAATGTTATAGCTTGATGATTGTTATCATATTCACACTCTGAAAGCGTAAACTATATTGCAATTGCCTTGTCCGACCAGCCGTTCATCCATTGTTTCGTCCAACATATATTTTTTTCTCAAAACCTTCTTAACTAAATCATTATAAATTTCGTCTACAGTTTCACATGGAATAAGTTGTAAGGAATGTGTGCTATTTGGATCGGTCAAACACATACTTTTGGTTTTCCGATACTTTAAATGCCGAGACATATGCTTATCACGACAATTCGTTCATTTTGTTAAAATTTCAGAACAGAACCAAAACTTAAGAACAGAACATCTTTTAAAATATATAAAGAGGTTACACGAGCAATTTACTTTAAAATGTTTCTTTTGATTTTATTAAATTTACCCATTAGTTAAGAATCCTTACATGTATTTAAGCATAATGTGCATTTTTCGTGTGCTTTTTAGTTTACTTTATTTTAACGTAAGTACAAAAATAAACCAACAAAAAAACTCGATATATACAGATTGTAAGTTCTTCTTCGTATACTCAAATGTTTACAACAATTGTGTGCGTATATTGCAGGTAATGTGCAGAAACGTAAACTTCTTATCTGTAAACTATTACCAAAATAGTGTGTTATTTAGTGGTTGTCGATAGTTATTTGTTTTCCGTTTCTTGTTTTATCATAAGTCAGGTTGTTGGTTTGTCTTGTTTAATTTTTTTTTAACATTTTGTCATATCTGGCGGTTTATAACTAACTATGTGGTATTGGTTCTACCGAAAGCTGATGGTTTTACTGTTCCTTATAGTTGCTCATCTTCACGTCATTTGATCTCTAGTGGACAGTTATCTCATTTGGGAGTATACCACATCTACTTATTTTGCATAATATTTATCCATTGGATTAAGAAAAATGTATTATATGATTGTATAGAAGTAACATTTTCTACTTATTTCTTAAACAATGTCATAGATCTCAGCTTGAAAAATTTGAATCATTCATTATGCTCACATCTTTCAATTCAACAATCCATGAGATGCACAAGCCACCGATCTATGTTACCGGACACGTTTCTATTACATTGAAAGAACACTGGCATTCTTAATAAAAACTATGAAAATGTAAGGCATTATATCTTAACTTCGACAATTTACACATGTTACAGATCAAATTAAATCCGAAATATACATGTCATAGTATCATGTCTCAATTTTAATGTTTTGTCATTTGTGAAGAAGGAGAACTATACGGATCATATCTAAAAGAAAGACGAAAGATACCATAGGGATATTCAAACTCATACGTCGAAACGAATTGACAATATAATGGAAAAAAACGAAAGAAGAACGGGTGATCACAGGTGCTCCGGAAAGGTATTCTTCGATGTTTTAAAGTTTTGTGTGGAAGGGGAGGTATAGGGATCATTTCTAAACTTCGATGTTTTACAGATTCATGTTACAGGAGAAGTATAGGGATCATATCTAAAGTTTGCTGTTTTACAACTTCATGTTTGAGGAGAACTATAGGGATCATATCTTAACTTCGGTGTTTTACAGACTCACGCTGAAATAGTATCTCAGTTTTTATATTTTTATTTTATTGTTTTTCTTTTCATTTTCCTTAACTCTGATATTTTCGAACAATGATTAGGAATGATTTTTTTTCTTATTAATTTCACTTGATATTATCTAACCTCATGGGTTATGTGTTCATTTTATACCTCATAATAGGAGTAAAAAACGAACTTAGAGAAAATTAAGATACTATTTTGTTTGTTCCATTGCTCAAGAATGCCAATATTTCTTCTTTTTTATTAAAAATCATGTTATTTTTTTTTATTAACATATGAGTATTTTGATAAAGATACTAAAAGTTTTAATTGTGTTAATCAACAGAGTGGGAATTTTCTTTTTTAATTAAATTCATAAACCATCATTACTATTTAGTATTTTTGTAAATCTAGAAGGGTTTTTTTCATACCATATGATGAATATGAGAGATAAGTTACTAACATTTTGTCCTCATTGTTTGAAAATGCCCATATACAGTTTTCCATTTATTAAAATGCATGCACGCTTTTCAGCAATTATTCATGTAACTCCATCTACATGAGCTAGTTTTAAAACAAAATGTGAATAATAAAAAGAGTAAAGATACTTAAACTTTTGTTAATGTTGAATAAGATAACTATGTCTTCATTTTTAAGGAAATTATTGTATATATGAGTACTTCTGGTAGAATAGGATGGGTTGTTTTAGAAAAAAAATATGATGTTCACTAAAAAAACATATTTAAATTTGATGCCCATATTCCTTATTTTATTAAAACTCGTGCAACTTTATTTGGTATTTGTCATAAAAGGGCGTCTAGACGAGTTATTTTCCCAAAATATAAATAGTACACGTATAGAGATAAAGATACCTAAACTTTTGTTTCTTTTAATTCAGAGTGTAATTCTTTCTTCATTTTAATGAAATCATGAACCGTAATTGAACGTTAGTACTTTTTTGAATATTGGAATGGGTTGTTTTCATTTATATGATAAATATAAGAGATCAG